AAATATTTACGAAACACTAAAAAGATCCGCGAGGAAGTATGCTTTTTTCTGACAGTTTTCTTACTTTTGTTGACACAACAAAAGCAAATGTGGTTTGTAAATTTAAATACGCACAATGAAACCAGGAAAATTTTATATGCAGTTTTGCATATTTGTCTTTTTGCTGATGTAGGACAAATATAAAAAATTGATGGACAAGTTCTGATTGCATCGCGCATATAAAATGATGAAAAAACTAGAAAAATGAAAAGAAATGAATCTGTCGGAACAGACGTGCGACTTATTTCGAATACGTGTTCATTAAATATTTATTAAAATGAAAACCAGGAACGATAGTGTGCGCACGCAACACGTTCAATAAAAAAAGCTTCATACATATAAACATCATGGTATTTAATCGCGAATGGCAATCAGTTGCCGAACGGTATGTGTACAATTAATGGATCTCGTTAAAAGCGAGCTTTAATTTGCCGATGACATTGCTTGCCATGAAAAACCGGTGGCTAACGATGGCTCGATATTTTACCGCTTTACTTCGAAATCGAGAGCGCGCGCACTCTCTCGAAATAGTAGTACGGAATTAACCGCAGCCAAAACCGCCAGGAAGTCATATTTCACCGGTCGATAGATGAATGCAGTTCCGGGGCGATCAAATTTTTCGATTCAATCCTTATGAACTCGCGCGGCGCGTTTTGACGAAGATTTAAACAAATCCGCTTAAAGCACATAAACAGTTTTTCATGTGTATTCAGTGAATGCCGAGCATTTATATTTACAAACGATTCTACAAATTGCACGATTTTTATGATCAGAGAGCAAACTTCAAAAATCCAAAATATACGCAATATGTATATACTGTAAACAATTTCTTCTTCATATATATAAACGTATGATTATGTACAATGACATCAAGTATATATAACAGATAATCCTTTACTTATTCAACTTCAAAATAAACAATTTGTATTTGATGATATGGATGCAGGCTATTTGTTCATTCTCAACAAATTTGATGTGATAATCAAACATGTTCAACAAACTCTGCATATTGACTTTATCGTTCCAACGCTGACGTATCTGCAGTATGCAATATTTCGATCTTTCCGTACTAAACACGGCTTTATCAAAGTAGATATTTATACGAACAAACGCTACGAATTTCATAAAAGTTGAAGCACTAAAAAAATTGAATATATGCACAGGTGATATTTATATACGGGAAATAGATACTTCTTCTTGAAAAAATTGAAAACCAGTTTCTAGTAGCTTCTATTTTCTCGACATTTTAGTGCCATTTTATTATATGGGTGATTCTCTGTGAACGCGTAAATTTCAACTTTCAGTTTTGATAAAAAATAATTATTATTAACTAACGGATAGCGGTGAATTATGTTTTTTCATACCATTTTAAGTCACCATTCGTAATATGAATACGTGACTATGCAATATAAAAAACTTATCTATGTTTTTATGTCAATATACCATGGAGATTACAGTCCACGGAGATTACGTTTTTTGAGAATTACCCATATGTATCGTAGACTTCAATTACATTTGTTGAGAGAAATAAATTATGTTATAAAAACCTTTTGTAGACAGACCTCAAAAATGATGACCGGACAAACTGGGTCTGTGAGACCCACGCGACTTTAAAATCGAATATCACCGCAAAAAATCGATATTTTTTTCAATGTTTTTTTGAATCGAAAATTCGAATGATTCTGCATCGATAAAAAAACCACATTGAAAAAATCTCTAGTAATTTCAAAGATATAAACATTAACCCTTATTACTTACGTGGGGTCCATAAGACCCCAGCATAAATTTGAGCTTACTTTTAAGTAAGTAAAATTCCAAAGCGAGATTTGTTACACCATCTGTTGGTAGATATATGAATATGATTTTTTGAGTGAAAAAAGTCGATTTTCTACGATTTTTAAATTCGCGATTTTTTTAAACATATAATAAAAAATTCAAAATCAGAAATAACATTCTTGATTCAGCATCCTTTAGAGAGTATCTATGATTTTTTTCCACATGAAAAAGTGAATAGAGTACTTTCTAGAACCTTTTAAAAAGGCTGGAGTCCAGTGAACCCCCAGTGGGGTTTATGTTGCGGAGATGAAGTGTGGATAACAAGGGTTAAAAAAATAAAATTTTTACTAGAAACGCCGATGTGCAATTTTTGAGTGAGTCTGAGAGACGCATGTCCGTCCGCAAAGGGATAATTGTCAATCACGAATCTTGATCGTACAAAATATACATGTAACATAAAATCTAAATTAACATTCATAAAAATGATTGTTATGCTTTGACTTAAATTATTTAACGCGCTAAAAAAGCAGTAGACTGCATTTTTCAATCTTGGAGATTTATGGTTCGGTCTCAGATTGATAAAACGCTTTTTTGGCGCAAAAAAGAAGCATAAACGAAGAGCGTTAGGGCGACCGAAAAATGAAGAGTATTCGAGAAACTGCCAGAAGCACGGACATAGCGGTCGGACTGTATTTCAATCACGCTGACGGAATAACGGAATGTCAGTTGAGCGAATCGGCAAATCCCTATGACAAGCCGATCGTTGTTTCGTATCGAAACACTAACATCTGAGAAATTGCATTGCGTCCGCGCCGCGTCGTTCAGTCAATTGATTGGACAGACGACTTCTGATCATCTGTGAATCGCGTTATGCCTTTCCAAAAGAGAACCGTCGAGTTTAACACACTGCGGCTATAGTAGCGTCTTCTCTCTGTTTTCTCAATGATCGGTTTTTGATGATTCTTTGATCTTTGGGATGTTGTTCATTATTATTATTTAATAAACATTATAATAACACACAAAAAAATTTAATACACATGTATTATAATAGTACAAAAAAAACATCCGGCTCAGTGATCTCGTGGGGGCTGCGAACAGAGAAGTCTCGAGTTTGAATCCGCACCTTCGGATTTTTCCGGTCTCTTTCAGTCGAACTTATCGATTGAAATGCGAACTGAATCAAACTTCCAGTCGTTTCGAAGTGATTATAAGCGCTTTCGAAATCCGCCTAAATCTGTAGGTCCAACACACTCTACAAGCCCTTCACTTTGGAAAAGTTGGGCGTTAAGCTAACAATCTACCCTCCGTAAAACTTGTATTGTTAAGAAACCAGAAAATAAAAAGCCGTTCCAGAAAGGAAGAGCTGAAAATTGGGAATCGGAAGGTGTAGAACGCTATAAAACTGAAATATATATATATATATATATATAAATCTGGTAAAACGGCCGTATTAATTTAAAAAACAGTTGAGATGTACCTTCCAGCCTTTGACTAGGAATGGTAGTAGTAGATAAATAATTGAATAAATTAAAATATGGAACGTTTCGATCTATATTTGTAAGATTATCTTCAGCCGGGCTTATTGAAAATAAAAATGAAAATGAAAATAAACATCAGAAGTCGTCACAAAACGAAAGTATATAAGAGAATCAATACAGTGTCAACAATACAGTGATGGAAATTGTTGTTGTTCAATTCGTCTCCGCATCGCCAAAAAATAATCAGTAAACTAATCAAATCGTTGAAATCTCTCAACACAATCATAACACAGCGACGACCAACGCACAAATATCTCATGAGACGGGCAAAATACAAATGCAACAACAATTTCCATCACTGTATTGTTGACATCTCTCATATACCTTTGTTTTGTGACGACTTCTGATGTTTATTTTTATTTTCATTTTTATTTTTAATAAGCCCGGCTGAAGATGATCTTACAAATATAGATCGAAACGTTCCATATTTTAATTTATTCAATTATTTATCTACTACTACCATCCCTAGTCAAAGGCTGGAAGGTCCATCTCAACTGTTTTATATATATATATATATATGTACATATATTATAATATATAATTAATATATATATATAACATGTAATATATACATATATATACATATGTATTATATGTAAACTTTTCATCAAAAAATAGCCGAGAAAAATCCTCTTAAAACAACGTTGAACATAAACTTAATGAAGTACGGGCTCTTTTATAAATTATTCTGCGCTTCTAAAGACCTCTTTTGTGTGCAATAAATCACACTATCATCATGAATTAAATTTAATTACAGTCAGAAGATTTTAAATAATAACGTGATATTTCATTTAAAATAAATGCATAATTTGCACCACTTAATCATTTCTTTCCTGACACATTGCATATATATAAATTGTTAGAAATTCATTTAAAAGTAATGAAAATTCTTTGATGATAATAAAATAACGACAGAAATAACATATAGTAAATTAACATATAGTGCGCTGAGAGCTTTAAATACAGAAAGATCTATTTACATTTAATTCGAGCGAGCTTTTACCGCGTTATTTCGCGCGTAATAAAACGCATTAACGATGTACATACGCGCGCGCGCACACATATGGATATGCAGATTGCAAGATGCACATTAAGTGCACTCTCTATTAAAATCGATGCTTATTAATATTCAGCGCGTTGTTGACTCACCCGGATCAAAATTTCCGGAAGCGAAGAGATTAAACGCATCTGTACCGTTCGTCGATTATTCAATATTGTATTTTTATTCATAAATATTTAATTCTTCGTATGAGTATGAATAAACGAGCAAATTTTCTTATAAGGTCAAGAAGGAAAATTTACGAATGATCAGAAATTTTGTATCTGAATCGAGGTCGGAACGTCATGAGACAATTTTTTAACACGCAAAAACAATACCGCGTGCAAAATTCTACTCGATATCACTTCGAACGCAATTTGATACTGCGTACACATTACAGCGTACAAAAACATTTCGTCAACCTGACCGTTTTCCCTATTTCTTTCTTTTTACTATAATATAAACGACAGATGAGATATAATCAAGGAAATACAAAACATCCATAATAATAATAATAATAATGAAATCTAAGTCTGGAATGTTCTCAATCATTATCGACTTTGTGTTACTTCGGACTTATACGGAATAATTTTGTTTGTATTTTCCAGATACGGGCTCCAGTTATTTCAGCGAACCGGAAAGCGCCGCTTCCGTCATCGCCATCGAGAAACTGTCAATCAAAATCGATCATCAAAACTACGGAAAGAATGCTCGTGGCGCATTTACAGCGAACTGTGTGTATAATGTACTCTCTGCGTGTATTTGTAAACTGTGATGTTAACTACTAATAACAAAAATAGACCGATAAAAGCATACATGTATTAAGCTATGAGCGATAGGCTCGAGAGCTTTAAAAACCAAAAAAAAGCGTAAAAAAGCACAAATATTATATAAACGCGTTCTGATCAATGGCCTGTCTACGATGTACTTACTTTCAATCATAATAAACAGTGTACGTGTACTATAACGTTGTGCGCTTTATCGCGAATTCAAATTATCGCCTGTATTATTAATTTATCGCATTTTTACGTTTTTTTTTTTTTTTTTTAATTTTATTCCTGCATACAATAAATTGAACATTATAATTATTAGATACATACATGTAATATTTATAAAATATATATACGTACTAAATATATGTAGTACACGTTAATTTACGTTAATAAACTGCGTATGACATTATAATATTTAAGTTTCAATCATTAATATATAGTTTCAATTTTATAAGATTAGATACAGCGTATATTATTTTGCTGTTTCGTTATATGATGTAGACTCAGTAGTGCAACACAACGATCAGTGCGACATAGAAGACTCGCGCGCAAACGCGTCACTAAAATTCATCGATCCAACTGTTATCACACTTCTTTCTATCTTCATTCTTACTCGACCAACTTCGCAACTTATTTCCGAAGTTATCTCCATTCTCATTTATTTATGATCGCGATGTTATTATCTTATCGGTATATTTCAATCGACGATAATGACAAAAATATCACCTTAGATCAAAATAAACGTTACACACACACACACACACACACACACAAAATATGAAACTGCAGAAAGTCAGAACAAAGAAATCTCAACATGAAAAAGTATATTGTGCGAAATAAATCAAAGTTCGAAACATTTCTTGCTAAGAATCATTTCTATGTGACACACGTTCTGTGGAAACCCGCAGAATACATTAAATTCTCGTATGTCGTACGTCACTCAATAACAAACCAAACTGTATCAAGTTCTTCGTCATGAGAGCCAAACTTGATTTGGTTGCAAAGAGCATCGTGCGATCTTCGGTGTACAGACATACACGGGGGAGGTCAATATACTTTGAGAAAACTGAAACCAAGGCAAAAGTGCGCGTCCTTTCATGTACGTAATGCGTTCGCGGAATAATATGATTGAAACACAGATCAGGCGTTTTATCAACATTAGACTGAAAAAATAGCTTAAAATTTTTTCTATTAATATAAAAAGTTTTGAGACACTTTTTCTTAATTATCAATTAACAATTTATATAAGCAAAAATTATCATATAATTTACATTATTTGTAAATTAATCATGATGATTATATTGTGTTAGAATGAGAGAAAGAGAACAAGGTGTATAATAAATTGCGGTTTTTTACTTAAAAAAAATATACTTTAGACTATATAAAAATGTATAATATAAAAGCTCTCTCTCTCTCTCTCTCTCTCTCTCTCTCTCTCTCTCTCTTTCTCTCTCTCTCCTTGCGCGTAGGATATTCTGAATGATTAACTCTTTCCGAGTTAGTAGAACATCTTTCTTCTGAGATTTTAAAATTTAATAGAATAAAATATCTTATCCCAGAAAAAAAATAAAGTTTTTGCACTTTTTTACATGCAAATTAAGTATAATATGTAAAATTATTATTTTTTCAATTATAGAGGAGACCGGGGCTAGTAAGCCAATTTTTCAGTATTTGATTTTTAATAAATTATATGAGCAAGATATTGTTATAATGGTTGGTATATCTTATAAGACATATATTTGACTATGTGATTAAATAGTAAAAGTAGACTTAATGTTACAACGACTGAGGTATTTTAATATTTTCTGAGCACTTGTCATGTTAGTCAACTAGCCCCACGGTCGGGGTTGGTAGACTTACAGTATGGGGTAGGTTGACTAAAGTATAAGAAGTAAAGAAAATGTTATTAACAACTTAGTGGTTTAATACAATGGCAAAAAAGTTGTTTTATTACAAAATATTATTTA